TTCCCATGCAGCCCCCTGCTTGTGGCCTGGGAAAGCAGTCGACGACGACCCAAGGCCTTGGGGACCCTCCACCCACGTGGGAGATCCGGAAGAGGCTCCTGGCTCTTCATCGGCTCAGTTGCAGGGGTTGTGGCCATTTGCAGAGAAAATCAGCAGATTCAAGATCTTCCTCTTTCTCTCTGTGAATATGCCTTCCCAATAAAAATAAATAAATCTTTTTTAAAAAAGAATATATAGATTTCCTGGATTATGCCCTACTAATTCTTCTTCTAAACTGATTTTTTAGGATTGAATGCTCTCACTGCTATGTTGCTGTCTTAACAATGTGTTAAATGCCCTCTCTCAGGACTCTAGAGCACAGAGGCCTGTGATGAGGCTCTGATTTGTGTCCTGAAAGGACTTTTTAGTATCATGGAGAAGGGAGAATTCTGCACTTCATTATTGAAAAAGTTATTGTTAACCACATAACAAGAGATTTTGTCTATAACTTACTTATTTAACTAATGCCAAACACTTTTCTTTATTTAATGTCATCTGCTTTTGTGAATGTGTCTATTTGGATAGATTCATAAAAGGTGATTTAGATTAGGGGTTGTAATACCTTTATAGCTTTGATAGAAGTTGTAACTTTCAGGATAGTGGTAGTAATTTGGATTCCTGTAATTGCATATGTTTTTCTCCCTCTTCTTGTCAACTCAAGTCTTTTTAATTCTGGCATTTTTATGTGACAAAAAGTATCATTATTTTACTTGGTATTTTCCTCCTTGGATATCTTTCCATGTCTTTATTAAGTCCATGCATTTTTGGATTTATAATTTTATTATTACTATCACTTTTTTCTAAGTATTTATTTTTATTGCAAAGTCAGATATACAGAGGGGAGGAGAGACAGAAAGGAAGATCTTCCGTCCAATGGTTCACTCCCCAAGTGGCTGCAATGGCTGGAGCTGAGCCTATCTGAAGCAGGAGCTTAGAGCTTCTTTGGGGTCTCCCACACGGGTGCAGGGTCCCAAGGCTTTGGGCCGTCCTCAACTGCTTTCCCAGGCCACAAGCAGGGAGCTGGATGGGAAGTGGGGCTGCTGCATTAGGAACTGGCGCCAGATGGGATCCTGGCTCTTTGAGCAGAAGGATTAGCCAATTGAACCATCCCACTGGGCCCATTCAATTTGTCTTTTTATTCCATTTGTCTATGAGTGTCTGAGATGCTGTTACATAAACATGTTTTAAGACATTTTATTTCGATACGCATTACTGTCTATTTATCTTCTTGATTAAAACAAGCTATTCCAGCAGTATTCATACCATAGTATAGCAATTGCTTGCCACAGGCAGGAAAGAGATTCCATCTGCTGGCTCACTGCTCAGCTCCTTCCAGCCGAGGCCGGGCCAAGCCCACCTCAGGAGCAGGAGCTCCCATTGAGGTGAGGGGCGTTCAAGCACATCAGTCATTGTCTGCTGCCTTCCTGGGCATACATTAGCAGGAAGCTAGAATGAGACGCAGAGCTGGGACTTAAACCTGGGCACGTTAACAGAGCATAAGGGCATCCCCAGTGCCATCCTGAGACCGCTAGGCCAAATGACCACCCACATCTGAAGTTTATTAGGTAGATTGGATTCCAGCCTTTCTGCCTTTTTTTTTTTTCCCCAATTTTATTGGAAAGGCAGATATTGGAGAGGAGGAGAGACAGGAAGATCTTCTGTCCATTGGTTCACTCCCCAAGTGGCTGCAATGGTCGAATCTGTGCCAATTCAAAGTCAGGCTCCGGAGTCTCTTCTGGATCTCCCCCACATGGGTGTAGGGTCCCAAGATTCTGGGTCATCCTCTACTGCTTTCCCAGGCTGCAAGCAGAAAGCTGGATGGGAAGTGAGGCTGCCGGGATTAAAGGCAGCACCCACATGGGATTCCTGTGCATGCAAGGCCAGGATTTTAGCTGCTAGGCTACGTTGCTGGGTCCTCCTCTGGCTTCTACCAAAGACTGAACCGTGGGCAGTTTACATGGCCTGCCAGTTTGGTTGTAACTTCAGACTCAGCGTCTAAACAGTTTTTACCTGCTTGACCCTTTGTATTTTGTCTGTAAGGTAAAGAAACAAGAAGAGAGAGCAAGAGCTCTCATCTTCTGAATGACTCCCTGGTGCCTGCAGTAACCAGGCTGGGACCAGGCAGAAGCCAGGTGCTCTAAGTTCTTCTCCGTGTGTGCCAGGGCCTCCAGCCCTTAAAACATCCCAGGAAAATAGACTGGGAGTGGAGTAGCTGGGACTGGAACTCCATTCCAGTCTGAGATGCTGGGTGTGCTCGGCAGTCGCTTCACTCTTAGGCCGAGCACCTGCCCCAGACCTGGACCTTTTAAAATATTTATTCAACATAATTTTAGGGGACATTGGGAGGGGAAAATGGGGAAAAATAACCAAACCCTCCTTTGGTTGTCCCTGCTCCAGGCAGCTCGGCTTTGCAGCCAGGTCTGCAACGGACCTGCTGCCGCCTTGCTGTGTGCTCCATCCCGTGCGTGGGGTCTGCTGAGGTTAACACGGCAGGCCTGCTCTGCTCCATCCCGTGCGTGGGGCCTGCTGAGGTTAACACGGCAGGCCTGCTCTGCTCCTGCCCGTGCGTGGGGCCTGCTGAGGTTAACACGGCAGGCCTGCTCTGCTCCTGCCCGTGCGTGGGGCCTGCTGAGGTTAACACGCCAGGCCTGCTGTGTGTGCTCCTCCTGTGCGTGGGGCCTGCTGAGGTTAACATGGCAGGCCTGCTGTGTGTGCTGCTTCCGCTTTGGTTCCATCTGCTCTCCAAAGTTGACACTGTCAGTCAGAACAACCTTCTCTTGCTACTGCTTTTTAAAAAAGCAAATCTGCCAGCCGTTAACACATTAATCTTATTTGCAAAAGTTTATTTAATGCTTTAGGTAGCCACTGTACATTAGTGATTGAAAGAAAGCATTGGCTAACGTTTTCTAAACTTTGAGAAAATGTTTTCCAGGTGTACTGTGTGCTTACAGGACAGATGACAGTGATGTTTTACTGAGGAATCGTGTGTACTATCTCAATTTTTTAATCAGATGAATGTTTAAAAATGAATTTTCTTTAAAAATTGAAAGTTATTAGAAAAAGCAGAATATAGAGATTCTTAAGAAAAATCTGTTCAATCCTGTGTTTTAAATTTTCTTATTTGTTATTATTGTTGTTTTTGAAAAACTTATTTTTATTGGGAAGCAGATATACAGAGAGAAGGAGAAACAGAGAGAAAGATCTTCCATCCAGTGGTTCACTCCCCAAGAGGTTACAGCGGCTGGAGCTGAGCCAATCCGAAGCCAGGAGCCAGGAGCCTCTTCCCGGTGTCCAACATGGGTGCAGGCTCTCAAGGCTTTGGGCAGTCCTTGACTGCTTTCCCAGGCCACAAGCAGGGAGCTGGATGGGAAGTGGAGTGCCAGGATAGGAACCAGAGCCCGTATTGGATCCCAGTGCATGTATGGCTAGGATTTTAACCTCTAGGCTATTGTTCTGCGCTCATTTTTCAAAAAGATTTGTTTTTATTGGAAAGTCTGATTACAGAGAAAAGGAGAGACAGAGAGGAAGATCACTTCCAATGATTCACTTCCAGTTGGCCGCAATGCCTGGAGCAGGAACCAGGAGCTTCTTCTTCCGGGTCGCCCATGCAGGTGCAGGATCTCAAGGCTTTGGGCCGTCCTCGACTACTTTCCCAGGCCACAAGCAGGGAGCTGGATGAGAAGCGAGGCTGCCGGGATTAGAACCGGCACGTATGTGGAATCCTGGCACATGCAAAGGGACAATTTTAGCCACTGGGTTACTGTGTTGGGCCCTTGTTTTAGTTTTAAACTGACACATAGAAGTAGTGTATGTTTGTTGTTCATGGACTGTCATGTAATGTTTATATACATGTAAGTCCTAAATGATGTCCCATCCGGGTAAATGAATCTATCCCCCGAATGTTTACTGTTATGTGTTTCTGAAGGAATAAAGATGTGCATTGATATTTTATCATGTGTTCTTTATTTTTTGTTTATTTCACCAGAGCATATAAGCATTCTGATCATATTTATAGTTGGCTACCTAATGAAAATGTGCACTTTCACCTAATTATTAATTAAAAATTAATGTTCTTAAAAATATTTATTTATTTATTTGAAAAGCAGGCCGAGAGCGAGGAATGGAGACGAGAAAGAAGGGAGGAAGGGAAAGAGTGTGGAGAAAAGAGAGGGGAGAGGAGAGGAGAGAGAGAGAGAGAGAGGTAGGGAGGAAGGGAGGGAGGGAGAGAGAGAGAGAGAGAGAGGGAGAGGAAAGCGAAGGAGAGATGGAGAGCAATAGCTGGGACTGGGCCAGGCTGGTATTCTTGAATTTCATTTGCCCCCCGCCCCCCAACCTGTATTACAGCTGTTTGAAAACTCGGGCCAGCTGCTGCTGCTTTAGTGCTGGTATGCTCACGGACCTGGTGTGGCAATGGAGTAGCCAGGACCTGAACCAGTGTTCATATGGAGTGGGTGGCAGCTTAGTGCACTGTGCCACAACACCACCCCTCCAGTAATCTCTTCCTAACTTGACACAGACTAATCAGCTTTCCAGAAAACTGAAATTTAGTAAGTTGTAGATTGTAGTCTATGTCTTGTTTTATTCTTTTTGGAATGATTTTAAAATTGGAAGTGTGTTTGGTGCCTGTTACAATGAGAGTTTACCATAGATAATATAATTGTGTATTTCATGTTATTGACCTAACAGCCCTAGAGTGAGCTTGTCTAGTTACTTTTGAGTTGAAAAAAAAAAATCCACTTAGGAATATTCTGTCTAGGTTTTCCGTCTCTATCTTCGTATTCAAGCATATACTGTGGTTTTGTGGCTTTTGGCCCTTTTTGATCACTGGTTCTATGTTAGTTTCACTTGCCTTTCTGTATTTGCTGAAATGTAATAGAATTCTCCAGTGAGATAGTCTGTACCCAGATATTGATTTTAATGTCATTAATGTGTTCAATTTTTCTTTGCCTCCTTTTTTCCAGATCTGTAGAAATTTCCAATGTGTAAATGCTTCTGTTCTAAATTATGACTGTGACGTTGAGAAAAAGTGCCATGGACATGGGGTAGGTCATATTGCCCTTTGGTTTGTCTCTTGAGGGAGTGCCACAGAAGCGCTGCCAGGCTTATTTTAGGCTACGGGAATGTTAGAGAATGTAGACTCCTGATAAATGTTTCATCCTTAAAGAGTGTTTCTAACTTGGTGTGAATTTAATCCTTTTTCTTTGTTCCCATTCTTGCGTTGATTGTCAAAAACGCATTCACAATTAACGGAAGTGGCTTTTTGATTGCTTCGAAGGTGTGTAATAGCAATAAGAATTGTCACTGTGACGATGGCTGGGCTCCCCCAAATTGTGAGACTACAGGATACGGAGGAAGTGTGGACAGTGGACCTACGTACAATGGCAAGTAATAAGTAAGAAAATCAGTGTGATTGGCCGGTGACCCAGGTTAGGTAGTGTCTCCCCCACATCGCTCCCTCCCTTCCTGCTGCAGTTGTTAGATATAGATCATGTTGATTCTGTATCCCAGCTGCTGTTCCTGTTGTGTGGAGTGTTCTGTCAGAGCTCCCGACAGTCACTGCTCCGTGCTGGCTTGCTGTCTGCTGCTTCCGTCAGGTGACGAGAGGAAAGCGTTGTGTTATCTGGGCCTGTCCCCACCGCCCTGCTTCTTGGAATGCTGTTGCTTTGAGTATTCTCCTTCCTGCACGTGTAGAGCTGGTGTTCCTTCCTTACATGTTGGCTCCTTTTTATCATGAAATAGTCTTCTTTATCCCTGGTAGTGTTCCCTGCCTTGCACCTAGGTATCAACTTAGTCACTCCAGATGCCTTTTCCTCAATCAGCACTGGGAAGATTTTTCCATAATTTTTTTCCTACCATCTACACAGGCATTTGTTAAGCATAGGTGTGTAAGCATGCACGAAACAGTTCATGCAAAAAGATGAGAACTGAACTTCCTTGTCACTGTTTCAGTCGCCTTTTTGTAAAATTCTACTTGAACCTGACTCAGCATTAGTCTCTAGTTTCCCAAACATTTTGCTTTTAATCTGTTTTTGTTCTGGACAGTATATATTTGGACCATATACTTGTTTTCGTTGGGTCTGCCGATGTCCACCTTTTAATTGGGTTTTGACCACTTACGTTTAATTAGATTATTAGTGGCTGCAGACGTCAAGGCTGGGCCTGGCTGATGTCAGGAGCTGGAAGCTTCAGCCAGGTCTCCTGTGTGGATGGCCTGGACCCAAGCGCTTGGGTCATGCTCATTGACTAAGCCATGGCGGGGAGCTGCATCCGAAGTGGAACAGCTGGGACGTACACTGGTGCCCCTGTGGGATGCTGATGTCACAGAGTGGCTTTACCCTGTACCACACGGTGCTGGCTGCTATGCAGGTGCTGTTTATTTTGCCCTGTTTATCTCTTTCCCCTCAAGAGACTCTACGTCATGGATGCTTGCTTCTTTGGGGTTCTTTTACATCTGCCGATGTTACTTTTGTTTTTCACTATTCTTTATTTTTATGTTTAATTTTGGATAATGTCTGTTGTTATTTGTTAAGTTCACTTTTTTTTTTTTGTGGAGGCCCTTTGCCTCCAATTCTACACACACACACACACACACACACACACACACACACGACATTATATCTTTTCTTGGAAGTTCCTTTCTTTTAAAATTATTTTATTTTGATGCTCTTTACACCTTGGAAGTTTCTTTTTAATATATACCTTTTCCATGACTCAGTATAACATATTATTTTTTGTTAAATAAATTAAACACAATACCTTTGTTAAAAAAAGTTGAGTGTAGTTTTAATAACTTCTAATATATATTTTTTTAGTCTCAATAGATTTTTTTTTCTCATTTTGGGTCATATTTCCTTGTTTATTTGCATGCTTTGTAACTTTTTTCTGCGAGAAGCCAGAAATCTTGAGTTTCACCTTGTTGGGTAGTGGATATTTCTGGATTTCTGTTGAGGAGATTTATTTCAGTAGACTTAGGTGGCCTGATATGATTGCTCAACTGAATAGCATTTAAAAAGGTATATAAATGGAATTGAGGTAATAAATTGTTGTTGCACCTACCTGTTTGGCAAAAATCCTCAACTTTTCTGTGTAAGCGACCACGTATGGAATTCCTCCATGTTGTACACGGGCAACTAGCTTGTAACCATCACTCTGGAGCGCAGTTTGGTAATAGTGTCTTTACAAATGATGACTGCATATACCCTCTGGTACAGCAGTTCTGCTTTTGGCATGTTATTCCGTAGTCATGCAGTCATATGACGTGATGTGTGCATCAGGCTACTGACTGCAGCATAGTTTTTGTAATAGTGAAGGACTGGCAAAACCCAAGTATGTATTAGTAAAGCAGTGGTTTAATTAACTACACAACATTGTCTGGAGGTTGGCATACATGTATAGAAAATGAATATGCCCTCTATGCTGTTGAAAGATACATAATTAAAAAAAAGTGGCATGCCAAACAATATTTATAGTGTATTATTTTTGTGTAAGGAAGGACTGCTGGTAAAAGTGAACGTTTTGCTTATATTGCGAAATGTGATATTAGGAAGGAAATGAATAAGAATGGCTGTGTTTTTTTGTGAAGGCAGAAATGCAGTGGTCAGGCGTGAGTTCAAGACCTCTCCGTATATTCAGTTTATATCCGTTTCAGTACTGAATAATGTGAAATTTTAAGGGAAAATGTTATGGTTTTAGCATTGTGGCCATTCTCCCTCATGTCCTCCCTCTAGAAAAGAATACTGCCCTGAGGAATGGTCTGCTCGCGTTCTTCTTCCTCATTTTGCTCGTGGCATTGGCTGTTTTTTGCTTCATCAAGAGAGACTGGCTCCGGAGAACCTTGTGCAGAAAGAAGAGGTCGCAAGCATACGGGTACATAGCTTGTGTTTTCCTTTGAAGTCCGCATGGCACGTAAGGGTTTAATGGCAATGAAGCTCTCACAAGGGCTGTCAGTCTTTGCTTAGCATGTTTTGAAAGATAATGGTGGTTAAGCTGCTTGTCCCAGGGAGATGGAAAGATTATGAGTGGCCTGTCTCATGGTGCAAATGGCCTTCGGTACTAACTATAGCTGAAGTTTCTTTCCGTTGGTGAACAAGTAGAATTTGGGACATGAAATCAGATTAGGGCTAGCAATCAAAACAGGAGATAAGACAGGTAAATGTTGAACACTTTCTCAATTTTGAAAACAGATTTTGTGAATCTAATTTTTTTTTAAAAAAGAAGTTTTGGGGTGGATGCTGTGGCCCAGCATTTGGCACGCTTCCATGCTGTGGGAGCGCCAAGCTTCTCAAAGCAGTGTCCCCGGAAGGCGCTTTGGGGACGCAGCAGGTAGTGGCCTAAGTGCTTGGGTTCCCGCCAGCAGTGCAGGCACTAGGGTGGAGTTCCAGCCTGGGATTGGCTGTTGGGGCTGTTTGGGTGGGCACCAGAGGGTAGAGAGTCTCCATTCCCTCTTTCTCTGCTACTTTGCCAAAAAAAAAAAAAAGATTTGATGAAGAAAATAGAAACTGAAAGATTTCATAATTTCTTAGAATTTTGTTTGCTTATTGACTTGACGCATCGAATGATGAAATGTGTTTAGTGCTTACTCATGTCACGTATGAAACCCCAAGTTTCAGCTTTCCTTAGGGTTATTACCAACACTGACTCTGTTCTTCTGAATGTGGAAAAGTGGAAGGCATGTGTAAGAGATCATGATCGACGTTTTATTTCAGCTCAGAAATTCTTGTGCCTTTTAGATCGGATGCAAAAACTCAAGGCCACGTCTCTAGGCAGCCAGCGAGTGCTCCCAGGCATGTTTCTCCAGGGACGACTCCTAGAGAAGCTGTAAGTTTAAAGTGGGAGATTAAAAAGTTCATTGCGTTAAGTACTGTATTAATTGTATTCATGCATTGCATTGCCAGGTCTGAAGATTACAAGCTAGAGCTAACTGCATACAGATAGGGCTATTAAAATGTCAAGAATATCCTGTGGAGTCCCCATCTTAAAGGAATAGTAGCTGAGTCCCTGGCTCTGAGCACAAGGGAAAGGAATTTCACACAGGAGCACCGACTTACCTTGAAACAGAGTGTAATGGAGGGACTGTGTCACCACCGTTCTTTCCTGTGTCCACGGGTCGTCTTGTGTTCAATACCTTGCTTCGCCCAGTTGACGTGGTGTGAGTTCCTGGAGATGCCGAGTTGTTACAGCATTAGGACTAGCAGTTCCTAAGAAAATGTTAAGAAGTGTCAGTAGCGATGTAATTTTATTAATACACATATATTCCTGTGCTGTTTATTTATAGCATATTTACATTTATATATTGGGTTTTTCTGTTTTCAGACTTTCAGAAAATGTTGTATTTGACATTTGACACGGCTGTGAAGTGATAATTCCTTGTAGTTTTGATTTTCACTTCCCTAATGATTAGGGTGTTGAGTGTTTGTCCATAGGCTTGTTGACATCGTGATATCTTCTGAGAACCTCTCTTCGGGTCTCCTGCCTGTTTGTCATTGGTGTGTGTGTGTGTGTGTGTGTGTGTGTGTGTTGGGCAGATGAGTTGTTTGTATTCTTTATGGGTTTTGGATACCAAGTCTTCGTTGATGTGTGTTTGCAAATATTCTTTTTCTAGATTATTCTTTCGCTCTGTTAATGGGTATCCTTTGCGTTCATGCTGATGTGCTACCACTTGTCCGCTTCTGCTTTTGTACTTAGGGATTTTAAGATTTTTTCCCCCTAGTGCTACAAAGAATGTCATTGGAATTGTGAAGGGAATTGCATTGAGTATGTAGATTTCTTTGAGTATTTTGGACATTTTAACTAATATTAATTCTTCCAATTCATTAGCATGAGATTTTGCATTTTTCTCTCTTCAGTTTCCTTCATCAATATTTTATAATTTCGTTTTATTGAACTTTTTCCTGGTTGGTTCAATTTATTCCAACTTTATTTCTTTTTAATGTTATTCCAAATGAGATTTTTTTTGTTGGTGGTGGTGAGATGGTTTATGTTTAGTGTCTAATAAGCTACTGCTTTTTATATATCGAATTTGTATCTTGTAACTTTACATGTTTTGTTTATTCTAGTGTTCAGGAGGAACCTTTAGGGTTTTCTATATAAGAGCTACAAACAGGGACTTTTTCTTTACACTTTGGGTAGTTTTTATTTCTTCCTCTTGCTTGGTTGCTCTGCTGAGGATTCCCAATACTGTGTTTAATAGAATCAATATACAAGATAAAGATGCCTTGTCTTCTTGGAAAAGCTGAATTCTTCATTGTTGGTTGTGGTTTTAGCTGTGGACTTGTGAAATGTTGCCTTTGTTGGTTGTCTTTTTGTGTGTGTGTGTGTGTGCGTGTATTATTTTTTACATGCTTCACCTTCATTCGGTGACAGTATTCACAAAGGAAGGTAGATAATAGTAATAATCTGAAAGAACATTGAAAAAAGGTAAGCACAGAGTAAAGATCCGGTCAGTTAAAAGCCCCAACAAGGCTGACCTATCTCCAGACCATAGAAGGTCTCCCCAAGAGGCCACTGAACTTATCTGGACAATAAGACGCTGAACTTTATGCTAGGCATGTGTTTGCAAGCAATGAATCTCAACTGAATTTGAACTATGGTTATGCAACAAGGTGGAGGAATCCACCATGGGGGGAGGGGTATGGGGGGGGGAATCAAAACTGTACTACATAATACAATGTAAGCAACAATAAAAAAAAAAAAGAAAAAAGAAAAAAGGTAAGCAAAGAAATAAAAACCTAAGCATGCAAAAATCAAAAAAATTGTTGTTTTCCAGGTGTATAAACAGACATTAGACACCTTAATCAAGTTCCAGCATGTTCTTCTCATACCTAAGGTTTACTTTTTTTGGTACTCTGGATTGGTTAGCACAGATTAGGGAAATTTGTGTTGTGGAATGACTTACTTCACTAAACATAGTGGTCTTATTGCATCTGTATGCTTGCAAAGACAAGAGTCCATTCTGTCTCATAGCGGAATCATATTCCATCATGTGTTTATACCACATTTTCTTTATCCAGTTGTTCATTGGTGGACATCTGGGTTGATTCCTAGCTTAGTTATTATGAATTGAACTACTGTGAACATAGGAGTACAGATAACTCTCCTTGATATGCTGATTTCATTTGGATGAATTCCCATGAGTGGGATGGCTGGGTCATATGGTGTATTTGTATTCAGATATCTGAGGAATCTGCATATTGTCCTCCATAATGGTAACATTGGTTTACATTCCCACCAGCAGTGGGCTAGAGTATGTTTTTCACTATACTCTCCAGCATCTAGTGTTATCTGATTTTTGGATGATAACCATTCCAACAGGGATGAAGTGAAACGTCATTGTCATTTTAATTTCCATTTCGTGCTGACTAATGAGCATGAGGATTTTTTCATGTTTTCATCTGAATTTCTTCTTTTTTCTCCATTATTATTATTTCATGATACAGTTTCTTATGTTCTGGGATTTGCCTTATCCCTCTCACCAAATCTCCTACTCCCAAATACTGATTTTGTCTATATTGTTACAGTAGTATAGTTCTTCATAAACAGACATAAGGGCATGGATAATGGCAGAGAGCCCAGTATTCTATTGTCAAGATACATTTACCAGTTGCATTGTGAGTCTATCTTTGATATGGAAGTAGAGATGCATACTGCATTGTATCTTCACATCTAGATATATAGTCTCCATTATAAGTTACTATATATCCTATTAAATGAAAAGCCACAAAACAAAATTAACAACAGGAAGAAAAATAGAAATTTACAACACCTTGAAGTTAAAAAACATGTGTTGCTGAAGAAATGGAAAAAAAAATCAAGAACATTCTTAAAAGAATGCTACTGTATGACCTATGAATCATTGAATAATTTAGTATGAGGAAAAAACTTTTGAAAAAAATGAAAATAACAACAAAAACATCAAAATACATGAGATATAGTTTCCACTGATCTTTGTTGGGGAGAGGTGTCTGCTATAGGAAAGAGATAGATGGGTTTTGATTTTTGATCCAGTTTAGTAGTCTGTGATGTTTGTTGATGAGTGTAAGCCATTTACATTCAGCGTTAATACGAAAGGATGGTAATATGGGCCCGTCATTTTAGCAATGGGATGTTCATTGTTTGATTTAGTCTTCTGTTGTTATTTTACTGGGATGTTTTTCACAAGTGCCTTTGGTTTTGGTGGGCGCTATTTCTTTCTCTGTCAAAAGAACATCTTTATCCTTTGTAGGGCAAGTCTGGAAAAGGCATATTCTTTGAGCTTTTCTTGACTGTGGAAGAATTTTATTTCATTTTCAAACACAAAGGAAAACTTTGCTGGGTACGTTATTCTGGGTTGACAGTTTTTTGCTTCTAGAATCTGAACTATGTTGTCCATTCTCTTCTGGCCTGTAGAGTTTTCTGTGTGAGAGGTTAGCTGTGAGTCTGATTGGGGTTCCTCTGTAGGTCAGTTGTTGTTTTCTCTTGCACACTTAGGGATGTGTTCCTTATGTGCAACTGAAGAGAGCCTGATTATCATGTGTTGTGGTGAAGATCGCTTTTGGTCAACCTTGTTGGGAAATCTGTGCCCCTTCTGTATTCTGTTTCCCAATTAGGGAAATTTTCCTTTATAGTTTCATTAAATATGTTTTTAAAACCACCTTCTCTTTCCGTTCCTTATAGGACTCCCATAACTTTTATACTTTTTAATAATATATATATATATTTTAGATTTATTTTTAAAATTTTATATCATTTTATAACACAGTTTCATAGGCTCTTGGATTCCCCCAGTCCCTCTCCAAGACTTCCCCCCATATTGAATTCCTCCATATTGTTACAGTAGTACAGATCATATCCAGTCATGATTCCTTCATTGCTGGTATGGACCATGGGGAGAGTCCAGCATCTTATTGTCCAGATAAATTCAACAGTTTCATTGGGAGACCATCCTTGGTCTGAAAGTAGAGCTGGCAGAATATCATCTCCTCCAATGAGATGTCACTACACAACTTCAATAACAGGAAGAAACATCGAAATTAACAACATCATGAAGTTAATTGGCATGGTATTGAGTGACCAATATATTAGAAAATGTGACTTCTTAACCACATCCTGTAACTACTTCCTTGGCATCTCAATTTTAGTATATACATAACTGGCTGCTATAAACCCTTTTTTTTTTCTCCCAAGCTAAGTTAATGTGTTTTTGAATTTAACCTAAATCAGAGTGGCACAGGAACAGTGGAAGCATCAACATTAACATCCATCATATAAATAACAGCTGAGTAAGCTGAGTACAAACTTAACATCAAAGTTTCTATGCAATTACATCTTGTTTAGCATTAACAATCATAAATTGATGAACGTTTTTTTGGAGGGAGAAAATTAAGCCACAATTGAAACTTTGCAATATATAGTGATTAAATGTGGTTTTGCAGAATAGAAAAGTATTAGGCAGGTGAGCAGGGAAATTCCCAACAACCCAGTGAGTGAGGAAGAATTTAACTCTACATCCTACCTAGTAAAGTCCAGGAGAAGCAACTAGGGAGCCTGACCAGTACGTACAGGCTGAGCTATTATAGGCTAGTTGGCCTTTTGCCTGGCTGTTCCAGACTTTCCATATCTTTATCTATGTCTCTCTCTGTCTATCTAAAAAGCCAAATAGGAAGCCTGATCAGTAAAGTACAAGCTGCGTGATTATCAACTAGCTGACCTTTATTAGTCTCTGTCTATCCGAACTAATTTTGGGGCTCACAAGCAACCCTGATGGTTGGTGTAAGAGAGGCCTGGGAGCCAAGGCTGGAACTAGATAAGGACTGGAGAAAGCTCCTCTCCTGAGTCCAGAAGGAAATTTACAACCCTTTTATCTCTGAGTACCACCTGGGCATCCAGGCTGTTATTCCGATGTCACCAGACCCCGTGAGAGGGTTTGGGGCTGCTACCATCCTGTGTGGGAAATCCAGCAGGAAATGAGTGACCTCAGAGTTCTCAGCCTCTGAGGGCATTCGTATTCCCTGTGATCTCCTAGGCAGCCAGGATACAGTTCCCGGTGTCCATACTGACAATCCTCAACGAAGTACCCATTGCTTCTGTAGCGGAAGCACTTGGGAGGCTTCCGGGAGTCTCCGGGACTAGGATACAGACCACCTCTTATCCTCCTGTTCCACCATGAGATCCCCTCCTGCTCTGTACACACAACCTCCTTTTAAGAGGGTGTAAGGGTTGTGCTTGGATCCCACTACAAATTTCTATGGCTTTCTAATGCCTAATGCAGTTAAGAATTTGTTGTCTATAAATAATAAGTTACACTTAAAGTCTTCCTCAAACATTCTAAGAAGGTGGAGAATTTCTCTGCACTCCTGACCTGTGGTGGAACAAGAGGAATGTTAAACAAATTGAGTTTTTCAGTTCTTAGAGGCAGTTCCACTGGGGTTGCATCTTCTCCAGGGCAGTGTTATATTCAAGGGAGTTGCTGCACTTCGAGGGTCATATGAGCCATAGGGAAACCCACAGTTCTGAGGATCCATCAAGAAATTCTAGGGACAAGAACATAACCCTTCCTATGGATTATTAATGTTCCAGAATATCAATCATTCAGTTGTTTTATCAAATATATACAAAAGTCTCTTGGGAAAAATGATGCCACCGCATAATCCACGAGCCAGCAATGAATTCGACAAGAGAAAAGAGAGTATTTGGAATAAATAAAAATGAAATAGAAAACATCAAAACACATGGGATGCAGCCAAAACAAAACAAAAACGGTATTGATCAGATTATTGAAGTTACACTTTGCATGCTGGCTTCCTTATACAAGAGAGAACATACGGTATTTGTTCTTCTGTGATTGACTGATTTCACTGAGCATGATGGTCTCTAGTTGGGACCATCTAGTTGTAAATAGTATGATTTCATTCTTCTTAGTAGTTGAATGATATTCCATGGAGTACCACAGTTTCTTTAACCACTCTTCTTTGGACGCACATCTATGTTGTTTCCATGTCTTTGCTAGTGTAGACTGTGCTGCTGCAAATATAGGATTATATATCTCCTTCTCATATGCAGATTTCATTTCTGTTGGGTATATTGCTAGCAGCAGGATAGCTGGTTCATGTGGCAGGTTCATTTGCAATTCTCCAAGCACTCTCCATACTGATTTCCACAGTGGTTGTACTAGCCTGCACTCCCACCAGCAGTGAAGGAGGGTGCCTTTCTCCCCACATCCACACCAGCAGGTGTTATTAGTTGAGTTCTGAATGTATGCCAGTCTCACTGGAGTTAGATGGTACCTCAATGTGGTTTTCATTTGTATCCCTCTGATGGGTAGGGAGCCTGAGCATCTTTTCATATGTCTGTTAGCCATTTGAATCTGTTCTTTTGAAAAATGTCTGTTAATTTCATTTGCCCATATTGTTGCAGGGCTGTTTTTTTGTTTGTTTTGCTGTCCCTGGGTTTCTGAAGCTCTTTATAAATCTTAGTCCCCTATCACTTGTGTAGTGTGCAAACATTTTCTCCCATTCAGTTGATTGCTTCTTCACTTTGTTGATTGTTTCCTTTGCTGTACAGAAGCTTCTTAGTTTGATGTAGTCCCATTTGTTCAGTTGGGATTTGATTGCCTTTGCTTTTGATGTCTTTTCTAAGAAGTCTTTCTCTGTTCCTATATCTTGGAGTGTGTTTCTTATGTTCTCCTTTAAGAGTTTGATGGTTTTCAGGTATAGATTTAAGTCCTTGATCCATTTAAAGTTGATTTTCTTATAATTGATTCTTAATTCTGCAAGTTTACCCAGTTGTCCCAACAGCATTTGTTGAAGAGACCAGGCTTTTTGCCTGGATTGTTTTCAGTGTTATTGTCAAAGATTAGTTGACTATCCATGTGTGGACTCTCTTCTGGTGTTTCTATTCTGTTCTATTGATCATCTTCTCTGTTTCTGTACCAGTACCAGACTGTTTCTATGATCACTGCTCTGTCATATGCCTTGAAGTCTAGAATTGTGATTCCTCCAGCTTAATTTATATTTTTCAGGATAGGTTTGGCTATTTGTGGTCTTTTAGGATTCCAGATGAACTTTTGTATCATCTTTTCTATTTCTGAGAATAATGTTGTTGGGATTTTGATTTGGATTGCGTTTGTATATTGCTTTTGGTAATATGGTCATTTTGATGATGTTGATCCTGCCAATCCAGGAACATGGTAAGATTCTCAATTTTTCAAGGTCTTCTTCTATTTCCTTTTTTATTGTTTTGTAGTTTTTGTCATAGAGACCTTTCACATATTTGGTTAGCTAAAATTCCTGGGTATTTAAGATTCCTCTCCTCTATCTTAAAAGGGACTGTACTTACAATTTCTTTCTCAGCCATGGAATTATTTGTGTACACTAGTGCTATCAGTTAATTTTGTATCCTGCTACCCTTCCAAAGTCTCTTATGAGTTCCAATAGTCTCTTGACTGAGTCTTTTGGTTCTCCTATGTAGAGAATCATGTCGCCTGCAAATAGAGATAATTTCATTTCCTCTTTTCCAATTTGGATTCCTTTAATTCTTTTTTTCTTGCTTAATAGCTCTGGCATGGACTTCCACTACTTTAGTGAAGAGTAGTGGTGATAATGGACATCCCTGTCTAGTTCCAGATTTTAGCGGGAAGGCTTCCAATCTTTCCCCATTTAGCATGATGCTGGCATTGGGTTTTTCACAGATTGCTTTGACTGTGTTGTAGAATGTCCCTTCTATGCCTATCTTGCTTAGGGTTTTCAGCATGAAGTGTTGTTGGATTTTATCAAATGCCTTTTCTGCATCTATTGTGAGGATCATATGGTTTTTATTTTTCAATGTGTTGATGTGGTGTATCACATTCATTGTTTTGGAAATGTTGAACCATCCGTGCATGCCTGGGATGAATCCCACCTGGTGCAGGTGAATGATCTGCCTGATGTGTTGTTGGATCCTGTTGGCTAGTATTTTATTGAGGATCTTTGCATCTACGTTCATCAAGGATATTGTTCTGTAGTTTTCTTTTTCTGTTGTTTGTCTATCTGGTTTTTGTATTAAGGTAATACTAGCTTCATAGAAAGAATGTGGATGGATTGCCTCTCTTTCTATTGTTTGGAAAAGCTTGTGTAGGATTGGCGTAACTTCCTCTTGAAATGTTTGGTAGAATCAGCAGTGAAGCCATCTGGTCCAGGACTTTTCTTGGTTGGCAGGGCTTTGATTACTGATTTAATCTCAGTGCATGTTATTGGTTTATTTAGACTGCTAATTGCTTCTTGATTCAATTTGGTGGATTGTACGGATCCAAAAATCTGTCCTTCTCTTCTAGGTCTTCTGATTTTTTCACATATAGTTGCTTGTAATAGTTCCTGATGATTCTTTGTATTTCTGAGGTATCTGTTGTTATATCTCCTTTTGTCTCTGATGCTATTGATGTGTATTTTCTCTCTCCTTTTTTTTTTTTTATTAGTTGGGCTACTGCGGAATCTATTTTGTTGATTTTCTCAAAGAACCAGCTCCTTGATTAATTGTTCTTATGTATAGTTCTCTTGGTCTCTATTTTGTTTGTTTCCTCCCTTATTTTGGTGATTTCTTTGTTCCTACTAATCTTGGTATTGTTTTGCTATTGCTTTTCTAGTTCCTTCAATTGTAAGGTTAGATGATTTACTTGATGACTTTCTAATTTCTTAACATAAGCATTGACTGAGATGAGCTTTCTTCTTAACACTGCCTCGATTGTATTCCATAAGTTTTGATAAGTTGTGTTGATGCCTTTATTTGTTTCAGGCAATTTTTAAATTTCCCCTTTGATTTCCTCTCTAATCCATTGCTCATTTAGTAACATATTATTCAGTCTATATGTGTTTGCAAGTCTTCTTGGGTGTTTTGATTCTTGGTCTCTGGCTTCACTCCATGATGGTCTGAGAAGATGCATGGTATAATTTCGATTTTTCCAAATTTGCTGGAGCCTGTTTTGTGGCCTATAACATGGTCAATTCTGGAGAAGGTTCCACACACTGCTGAAAAAAAAAAGTGTATTCTCTATCTGTAGGATGAAAGGTTCAATAGATATCAACTAAGTCCATTTGCTCTAGAGTTTGGGTGAGTTGTTTCTTTGCTGAGTTTCTGTTTTTTTTATCTGTCCATTGCTGTTAAAGAGGTGTTGAGGTCACTATGATTGTATTGGAGTCTGTTTCTCCCTGTAAGTCTGTTAATGTTTGTTTCACGTAGCTAGGTGCCTTGGGATTTGGTGCATGTATATTTATTATGGTGATCTCTTCTTGCTGAATGGGTCCCTTGATCATTATGTTATCCTTCTTCATCTGTTTTAATGTTTTTCACATTGATGCCTTTTTTTTCTTTTTAGCCTATATATGCAAATCGATTTCCTGTACCAACCTATGCAGCCAAGCAACCTCAGCAGTACCCATCAAGGTCTGAAGTGAATTTGCTTTGATTCTGTGACCAGAGTGGAGCCCGAGAATCACTGATGTCTAGTATTTTCCCTGTGTTGAGGGCAGGTGGGCAGGGCTTGCTGTAGTGGTTCAGGTGCTGGGTAGGGCACTCCCAGCTCCTATTGGAGAAGCTAGGTCCGAGTGCAGCTTCATGATGGCTGGCTTCCTGCCTCCCTGGAGAGAGACTGGGATTGAGTGCCTGACTTTTGGCTTTGGCCTGGCCCAGTCTGGGCTTTTGTAGGCTTTGGTGGAACCAATAGATGGGCAGTCTCTGTAGAAACAGAAGTCTTTCTGCCTTTCTAAGAAATGAAATAAGTGAGTCAAAATAAGAAAAAGGCCAATATAATTAAAAAATTTCCCCTTTTTCTAATTTAATTTAGCATTCATCATTTAGCTTACAAAGTTGAGGGCAAATTTAGATAGAAGACAGCTTGCATAAAGGTTACACATTTTTGAAATAGCTTGTAATCATCTTAGTATAGTATCAAAATGGTATTTAAAGAAGCTTGAGAAAGACATATGACCAGTTACTGCTGAGCCTTTGGGTTGTATGATTCACAGTTGAAGGCCTTTGAACCGGCCAGCTATAGGGACCAGATGGGTTGGAGTAGCCTTCCCATTGAGAACAGTTCAAAAAACTGGCTGAAGTTAGAAAATAAGTGATTTGAAAGCATTGGAAACAGGAAGAGAGCAGTTGTGGGGGAAAGGTCCAGAAGAGGAATGGAGTCTGGTGAGGTTTTCAGTGTTGGGTCACTTTTCTGTCCTTAACTTGTCCACCTGTTCTGAAAGTGACAACTGATAGGCTAAGAAGGTGAAGAGTGTATTCAACAAACACTCAGGGTCATGGACGAAGATTGAGGTCCTAGGAGCTTGGCATGATGGCCTAGTGGCTGAAGTCCTCGCCTTGTATACACTGGGATCCCATATCGGTACTGGTTCATGTCTCAAATGCTCCACTTCCCATCCAGCTCCCTGCTTGTGGCCAGGGAAAGCAGTGGAGGATGGCCCAAAGCCTACTTGAGGAGTGAACCAGCAAATGGAAGATCTTTCTCTCTCTCCTTCTCTCTGTAAAGCTGCCTTTCCAACTAAAATAAATCTTAAAAAATAAAATTGGGGTCCTCTTAAGGGTGTTCCCAGTCTTTGTTTTGGGATCCTAAAGGTCAGAGTGAACTATTTTCTCAACTATTACCAGTAATTTTTAAGTCTTGCTCCTAATGAAAAAGCCAGAAGCACAAGGAAAGAAAATTTGGTTAAAGCCAAGAACCAGAATAGACCGTGGGAAGAAGGGATCCTGTTAATAATGGCCACACACTGACTTGAAAATAAGGGATCAGTGGTTAAGACTGAGAATTTCAGCACAGAGCAGATCTTTTTGCAAACAGATCTATGTCAGTTCTAGGAATGACAACAAGAACGGAGATCAAAGAACTCAATGGATGAGTTTAATCTCAGCCGGAAAGGAGGCATTTATTACTACATTTTTGTATTCCTTAAAATACAAATCAAATCAAATGACAACTACATTAATACGCTGAGGAGTGATCTCACATATAATCTTTATTATGCCGTAAGAGTACATTAAAATGCAACTGGACATTGATGGAAGAGCATAGATATGGTGGAATCCAGTGTCCTGTGGTAATGAATCAGAGGTACTCTAAAATTGGATGTGTCTAATGATTGGTAGTGTATAAAAATTGCGAGCAGTGAGTATAGAAGTAATAGCTGGTTTAATTCTCAGAGTGGCCCTTCAGCTTGTAGGAGGTAGAATTTCAATTATGCGCATGTAAACATAGAGCTAGTTTTCACGTGCTTTTATAATATTTATTTAAAAAGCAGGGTTACAGAGAGAGGGTGAGGGAGAGACAGAGTGAGAGAGAGAGAGAGAATGCATGTGCAAAAACTTATTTCCATTCATTAGTTCATTCCCTAAAATGGTCACAACTACTGGAGCTGGGCCTGTCTGAAGCCAGGAACCAGGAGCTTCTTCGGGGTCTTGCATGTAGGGTTCAGGTCCCAAGTGCTTGGGCTATCGCCTGCTGCTTTCCCAGGCACGTTAGGACGCCAGCCAGCACCCGTATGGGATTCTGTCATTGTAGGCAGCATCTTAACCCACTATAGCGGTGTTGGCCCTCAGCTAGGTTTACAGTTAACAATAATTTGCTGTCATGATATGAAACAGCCCATTTAGTTCTCTATCCCCTGGTGGTCCCAGTTCTCTTCTATAGGTTAGCTAAGTAAATCTAAAACATACAGCCTAGAACCTTCACTATTGAGTATTGGAGCAATGTTAGTTTAAAGCGCGTATTTCTATTTTAGACTCTGCTTAGAGCCCTTTGGCCATGGAATAGCTCATTAAAAAAAACTTCATAATTTAAAGTACTCTGACCTGTTGTTGCCAGCTAGGTTGAAGATGATGTTAGATTGATTAGTAATAAATATGGTGTTATTTTGTTCGTTCCAATTCCGCTACTATCTTTTTTTTCTCTCCTCGCAGGCCACCTCCACCACAACCGAAAATACCATCTCAGGGAAATCTAGTTCCTGCTCGCCCTGCACCTGCCCCTCCTTTATACAGTTCTCTCACCTGAGTTTTTTTTAATCCCTTTTTTGGGCAAATTGTCTTCAGGGAACTCAGCTTCTACTTTTTTTTTTTTTTTCCTTCCTCACATTTTCCCGAAAAGTCTTTTTCTCCTGTTACAACTATGAATGAAAACAAAATAGCATAAAACTACACTAACACAGCGAAATGGAGCTCAGCCGCGCGAGTTGGAAGCACAAGCGCACGGGAGGAAGCCGAGGGGTACTCAGAGTCCCCCTGGCCGAATGCGCCTCAGTCGGTCACCTGTGGAGCGACGCGTTCTCTCTGGATTATCTCATTTGGAAGATGCTGTTTCAGTGACTCTCAAACGAACTGTATTGATGTGAAAATCTTCATTATGTGTGTGCTTCGATGTTGATTTGAACCTTTGACCTTTAGTTATCATTAATGTAATTGCTGGTGAACAATTAATGTAATTGCTGCGTGACAGCTAACAACCTGTGCCAGCCAGTTAGCCAGCGAAAACACTGAGTGCTTGTCCTGTCGCACACGTTAATAACCACACACCTAGAATGTTACTCCCTCAGCACCCAGACAGATGCTCTGTTTGCAAGAATGCACAAGAAACACTGTTTATCAAAGTGTTGCGACCTTATTGTCAAAGTGCAAGACACAGGAGCCTGTGTCCTCACACAGTTGTTAGCGTCCATTTTAACGTTCATTCACCCATAGATGATGACTAGTAAACATGAATTTAATATTAGGGAATTTCTATTATGAATCATTTTAACGCATGGGCCTCCTTTTACAATCGCATTTCAAATTGCAAGCTTTAAGGTACGAGGTGTTTAACACATGTAATCAGATAACGCTGTTGATTCATGGCTGTACTCAAGCAGAAACACTTTCAATACCTTCAACCGTTGGAGCAGTTACAAAAGCACTTGAGAATTTCATGAGCACTTTAAGTCTAAAATTTGAATTCTCAGAGCTTGACTTCAAATCATTTAGAATGTTTACATTTACTCCGGTGTGCTGGATCTGACCTCTGGCAGACATTTTCCTAGAAATGTGGGCGGAGAAAAGAAGTGGCTTTCTTAAATGCAAAAGTTACTGTGGTATCTGTGAGTGATTGTCTGTTTTATTAAAAATGAATTTTTACTATGTAAGAAATGGTATGGGCAATAGAATTTTAAACAAAATTTTTTTCATAACCTTTCATAATAAAGTTTAATAATATGTTTATTAACTGAATTTCATTAGTTTTAAACAGATTTTTGGTTTGTATACATGTACAGATATAACACAATAAATAAAATTTAAAATTCTTACGTCTCCCAGTAACTTCTTCAATATTCATGTCTCATTAATTACGTTTCAGTTTTGGATAAAATCCTAATAAAACACTCACAGATGTTGCCTAACTGGCTGGGAAAACGCTTCAGTTTTTTGAGACCATCAAAATGGAGGGGAACGTGTGTGGGGACGGCCCCGGGGGTCGGGCGCGGATGCCGTAGGGGCGGCCTGGCTGCGGTGGCCGCGGGGGTCAGGAGAGGGCCGCGCAGGGCACTGGTGTCCACGGGAGTCCCGCGCCCCGCGGCCTCGAACGCGCGACGGGACGGGTAAAGGCGCCCCGCTCCCTGAGACCAACGGCCGCGCCCCCAGTTGGCGCTGGGAGGCGACAGAGCAGAGCGCACCATGTTCCACCTGCTGCTGCTGCTGCTCGCCGGGCTCGGGGGCTCGCCGGCGTCAGGCCCCGGTAAGGCAGGGCCGCCCCTGTGCCCCTCGCAGGCGCAGGAAGGCCTTTGTCGTGTGGAGGGGTCCCCGTGGGCATCAGACGGGGCTGTGAGCCCTGGTGGGCGCTCGGTCGGGGGCAGATGGCGACGGGGGAGAGGGGCACACTTGGAGTGTGCGTGTTGGGCCTCTTGGAGATGTCCCTGTGAGCTCTGAGCTGACCTCATCCGTAACCCAGAGGATAAAGGCGGCTGGGCCGTGCAGCCTGCAAAATACAGCCTTCCAGCAGAGCAGTGCCCACAAGTGACAGGTACAGCCCGTCTGAACACGGGCCTGGCTGTGGGCCTTTTGTCCTGGTCATCCCTTTGTTCAGCCATTACAACGCTGTAGCATTGTGGCCTGTTTTCATATCAGGTATGATATAATTGTGCCTTCCCCAAATGATCCATTTAATGCAGTGTTAATTGTTGATTATTTGAAGCATGCTTCATTGAAAACATTGTGTCCCACAGCATACCTCTCAGTCATCCATAGAACATCTTTATTCACTCTTGTTATCATGTTTGGTAACCGTGGTCCAATAAAACTTTAAAAATATTCTACTACAAAATTTTTACTTACCTTTAATGTCACGGTGTGTTTGAACACAATTTATTCCATTACACTTCATTTTTTAAAAAATTCACTCCTGGATTCAGATGGATGCAGCTCTGGCCTTTGCGGCCACTTGGGAAATGATTCAGCAGACGGAAGATCTTGCTCTCTGTCTCTCCTCCTTTGTTCATATCTCACTTTCCAATGAAATTTTTAAAAATCTTAAAATTGTTATTCCATGATACAGTTCATTAGATTCTGGGACTTCCCTTACGCCCTCCTCAAATCCCCAGCCCCCTACCCATCTCCCCCATGTCCTTACAATAGTATGGCCCTTCACAGTCAGTCCTAAGTCCATGATTCTGCCATTGAAGTGTATCCTGACATTGTAGGCATGGACAATGGCAGAGGCCAGCATCCTATTGTGAGGATACAGGCAACAGTTTCATTGGGAGTCCATCTTTGATTGGAAGTAGAGATGCACATGGCATTGTGTCTTCCCACCTGTTTGTGACTATCTCTACTGCACTCATCCCCTTAAAGGTTATCTTTATTTTTAAAATAAGGGAAGGAAGAAAAGGAAGAAGAAAAAAGTGGTTAAGCAAGAGAGAAAGGGAAGTATTCTTGGAACTATGTGAAGTACATTAAATCTGTTTATATTAATATGCCATTAAATTAAAAAGAGGACAGAAGAAAAGTTGCTCTACAGCATACCTGATCCTTATATGGGCAAAAAAGCATAATTTCACTTACTGAAAGGACTTCTTTTTTCTGGTCTCTTCCAGGGACAATTCTACATGGGTTTTTAAGGTTCTGGAAGTTGTTATTTGAGTACCATTGGCATTTCAGGTGCCTAATTTGCCTCTCAGCTGTTCATTGGGAATAATCCATGTTGGTTGAAGGGGTAATGGAAGTACAGTAGGGATGCGTGTCCTGGGTTGTGGGTCATCCGCTTCAACAACCTGAAGCCTTTAGGAACTTTCCAAGCCCAGTCCTGGTTGTGAACTTTCCATTGGATTGCCCAGGGAGTGCCATGCAATGTCAGTTTGTATTTGCACGTATTTCCTGTAGTATCACATCATTGGAGTTTTAGTCTCTCAAACTTCAGTGACAAACCAGAAACTTTGCTACCAGAAATGTACCTGCCACATTTCTCCCCTGTGCTCTGTCACAACAGGATCGCTTAAAAATAGCAGATATGTATTATTTGATGTTGTCTCTGGCTGAGAGTTTGCTCTCAAAGGGTTGGTAGTGCTGGTTCCTTTTGGAAGCTCAGTCAGATCATCCCTTCCATGCCCTCTGCTGGTTTTGGTTCGTTCCAGCCATCCTTGGCTTGTAGATATGTTTTCCCAATTTCTGCCTTTCTTTATATCACCATGTGTCTTCTCTTGTTTTATTTAAAGATGCTTGTTAATGGAATGAAGATCCACCCTCATGGTGCTGTTATCTTAAGATCCTCAATTCTACCTTGCAAAAACCTATTTTCCAAATAAGGTTGCATTCATACATTCTTGGTGGACCAATACACACACACACACACACACACACACACACACACACACACACATATATACACATGTACATATATAATATATATTTTATAGTTTTATATATATTACACAGAGGGAGGGAGAGAGAAAGATGCGCTGTTTCACTTCCCAGCTTTTTGCACATGATCAAATGATGAGTGCCGGGCCACAGCCAGCAGCTAGGAACATCAGCTAGGTTTCCCGCATGGGTGGTAGGCAGCTAAACATACGGGCCATCTTTTACTACTCTCTCCAGGCCAATAACTTGTAACGTCTTTGGAAGTGGTACAGCCAGGACTGTTGGCTGGTGCCCATATGGGATGCTGGCATTCCTGGCTGCTCCTTAATATACTCTGACCCAGTGCTGGCTCTACCTGGGTATATATTTTGAGAAGTCAGTGTTCAACCCACTCCATGCAGCACTGAGAAGCCGTCTTTGTTTCAAAACCACCGGGAGCCTTTCTGCGATTCTCTTGAAGAGGCCCAGCACAGGTTCTTTGCACCATTTGAATGTCAGACTGTGCCTGAGCTCACTTCCCCTGGCTCGGAAGGAGAACCTGTGGAGCTGCTGGCACTGCGGCCCATGTCAGGAGGCGCCTTCCCTCACCTTGGATCCCAAAGACAGGGAGTGAGTGGTCAAAGCAGCCCTGCTTCCAGAGTGGGCTGCACAGTACTGCTCCTCTTGTTGCGTGTGGGGGATATTTCCCACTGTGTGCTCAGGCACCTGGCTTCTCGTGTAGTGTATGTAAGTCGTTGTCAGGGCTCTGCTTCACCTGCTACTTCCTTCAGGTCTCAGAGCCATGGAATCGTGGAGCCCAGAGGCATGGAGCCCTCTAATTTCTTCTTACAGAGGTGCTTTTAGTTGCCTATTCCTGTTGTAGAAAATTGCCACATACAATGATATCAGTGGCGGGTGGGTTGTAAATCCAAAGTAAGGCTGACTGGGTTTAAATGAGCATGTTGGAGGTGCAGTGTTCCTTCTGGCACACGGATTCTGCTAAGGGGAGAATCTTCAGCTTCTAGTGGCTGCCCACATCCCTTAGCTTGCAGCCCCTTCCCTTCATCTTCATCATTCAGTAGCACTGGGCTGTGTGCTTGTCTTGCTACCTCTTTATGTTTCATGCTTCTACTTGTAAGGACACTTCTGGTTAAGTTAAGCCTGCTCAGTTCATCTGAGATAGTTAGGTACTTGATGGTCTACTGGTTAGCAGCCTTGACAGTGCCATGGAGCAGTATAATCACCGGTTCTGGCATTGAGAAGGTGGACACCTTTGGGTCAGCATTCTTTCTACCACAGATAGTGAAATGTCTGGATTCTAGGTTCAAACAGAAGCAGCAGTTTAGCAAGGTCTTCGGGCAAGGTGTCCTGCCACTAGTGCCAAGCAGAAAGGCAAGCGTGAAGTGTCTGATTATCGCGATACAGAAGACGGTCTGTGTCAGCGGTCCATCTAATAGCAAATGCCTGTGTTTGTTTCGGACCATATTAGAAACAATGTCATTTTTTACTGTGGTTATTACATTCAAGAATTAAAAACTCAAGAATATTCATTGCCATTAAAGATTAAATTCAACAACATTCTTTGCCATTCTCTTGGTTTTTTTTTTTTTTATTTCTTTTTCATGACTTGGGTTCGTAGGAATAGGGATCTCCCTCTCAAGTCCCCTTTCCTTGCTGCTCCATTCTTCCCCACCAACCGTTTTCCCCGATGTTATTGCAACGGTGTGATTCTGGTATGGAAGTGTGTCATGGCATTGTAGGTAGAGATGGCAGAGAGTCTGGTATCGTATGATTAAGATATACTTAACAGCTTCATTGGGAGTCCTTTTATTTGGGAGTAGAGGTGCCTACTGCAAGGCATCTCCACTTCCTGGAATGCTAGTCTCCATTACACAGTTCCTCCGGTGAGGACGTGTGTACACATGTTTTCCAGTGTATCTGCTGATCCTGTATTTTGCATGAAGGCTGTGTCATACCAGAGACAACATGTGCTGTCTGTCCTTCAGGATTGGTTATTTCACTGAGCACTTCATTGAAAATGGTAGAATTTTATTCTTTTTTTAATGTCTCAGTAGCATTCCATGGAGCAGAGGCAGCACAATTATTTCTTCTTCTCCTCCTCCCCTCCTCTTTCTCCTCCTCCTCCTTTTTTCTTTCTTTCGTTCAAATTTTGAAATTAAAAAAAAAAATCAGTTTTCTTTAGTAAGCCTGTAATACTCAGATTTAGGGAATACAAAAGCAAATAAAATATCTTCCCCAAAGCAACTGTATATCATCTTTTAAAAATTTTATGATACGATTCCACGAGCTCTGGGATTTCCTTCACGCCCTTGCCCAACCCCATCCCCTACTGATTTCCCCAGTATTATTATAGTAGTATCATCCTTCGGTCAGTCGTAAGTCCATCATTCTGCCATTGAAGTGTATCCTGACGTTTATGGTATGGACAATGGCAGAGTCCAGCATCCTATTGTCAAGATAGACTTAGACGTTTCATTGGGAGTCTATCTTTGACTTGGAAGTAGAGATACATACTGCATTGTATCCTCACATCTCCACATCTGGTTGTCTCTGCTATACAGTTACTATACATCCCCTTAAATGAAAAGCCATCAAATCAAATCAACAGCAGGAATAAAGTTAAAAATGTACAAGGCTATGAAGTTAAATAGCTTGCGACTGAATGATCAATGTGTTGTTGAGGAAATGAAAAAGAAAACAAAAAAAAATTCTTGAAGAAAATGATGCTACTGCATGACCTATGAGTCAGTGAAGAATTTGATAGAAGAAATGTTTGAAGAAATGAAAATAAAAATAACAATATCAAAACCCATGAGACGCAGTATTGCAAGCTCCACTGATCCTACATTTTGCATGATGTTTTGACTTGTGTCAGAGGTAACTTTCCTTCCGGGATTGACTGATGTCATTGAGCATAATGGTCTGTCGTTAGGACCATTTGGTTGTAAATGGGAACATTCATTCTTTGTAATGGTTTAGTAGTATTCCATGGAGTAGAAGTACCACATTTTCTTTAACCACTCCTCTTTGGGTGGGCGTCTGGATCGTTTCCATGTCTTTGCTGTTGCAGATTGTGCTGCTGTAAATATAGGATTACAGATCCCTGTCTCACATGCAGACCTCATTTCCTTTGGGTCGATTCCCAGCAGTAGGACAGCTGAGTCATCCAGCGGGTCTATTTTCAGTTCTCTTAGCAACCTCCATACTGACTTCCATAGCGGTTGCGCTAGCCTAATCCCACCAACAGTGAAGGCGTGCAACCGCCATTTCTTTATCCTTCCTCTTTCAGTGGGCGTCTGGATAGTTTTTATGTGTTGGATTGCGCTCCTCATTCCTAATAATTCAGTTTAGTTTTGTTTCAATGTTGGGTTCTCCTGTGTACGTGTTCCTTAAATTCCTTGAACTCCTTTATGTGCTTCTCATTGTCTGTAAGGAGCTTCATAGCAATTAAAAAAAATCTGTACCTCATCTTCCCCCGTCAATTCCGAGGTAAGCCAGTCTTTCACTCCTCTGTGGGATGCTTTGTCAGTAACCTCATTGTATGCTGCCCCTTCTTTTTCCCTTGGGACTGCAACTCTGTTTGGATCCTTCTCCCTTGGCCAGTGTGTAAGCTGTGCCACCCACAGGCTTACAGGTTAACATGACTAATCTGGTTCGTGGCTGCTGCTTTTGTGTCACTCGTGCCTCACTGCTTCCAGCGAATGGCAGTCTTAGGCTCCCACGCTATGCTTCTGCCGTGTCCTCTGCAGCCAGGGCTCCTGTGATTCCGTGTTGTGGCCGCACTTTTGTCTGCTCAGCCTTTTTCCACTCCCTGGGTCCAGCAGAATTTGGGATTAGGAAGACGCCAACTGACTTTAAACTGGATCACAGGGCTGTCAGGTGTGCCCGCTGCACGGATTTTTTTTTTTATTTCCTCTTCTTTTTTTAAATTCTTTTTATTTTTATTGGAAAGGCGGATATACAGAGAGGAGAGACAGAGAGGAAGATCTTCCATCCGATGATTCACTCCCTAAGTGAGCGCAACAGCCGATACTATGCCGGTCCGAAGCCAGGAGCCTCTTCCGGGTCTCCCACGTTGGGTGCAGGTTCCCAAAGCTTTGGGCCGTCCTCGACTGCTTTCCTGGGCCACAGGCAGGGAGCTGGAAGGGAAGCGGGGCTGCCGGGATAGAACCGGCGCCCATATGGGATCCCGGGCATGCAAGGCGAGGACCTTAACCACTTGCGCCACCGCGCCACCGGGCCCTTTCTTTCCTCTTCTTGCTGGAACCTGCTTAGAATTAGGTCTGGGGACAACCTGGACCTGTTTTGGGTGAAACTGATGGGATGCCAAGTCGGTATTGTTTTTCTGCTGGGACCAGTGCAATGCCTTGAGCCAGGCGTGAGCTCTCCACTGGCTCGGCCTGTGCGCAGCTCGCTGTCATTCCTCCCACCCCCAGAGGCTTTGCTATACAGTTACTATACATCCCCTTAAATGAAAAGCCACTGGTGAATATCTGGGCTGTGAAATCCACCCCATTCCCATATCCATCTGAAATGGGCTCTGCAATCTGTATTTGCTTGTGATCGAATTAGAAAAATCAGAGGGCCCAGTGCGATAGCCTCGCAGCTAAAGTCCTTACCTTGAACTCGCCAGGATTCCATAGGGGCGCCAGTTCTAATCCTGGCAGCTTCATTTCCCATCCAGCTCCCTGCTTGTGGCCTGGGAAAACAGTCGAGGACGGCCCAATGCTTTGGGGTCCTGCATCCATGTGGGAGAGCCGGGAGAGGCTCCTGGCTCCTGGCTCCTGACTTTGGATTGGCGCAGCTTCAGTCATTGCAACTACTTGGGGAATGAATCAGTCGACAGACCATCTTCTTTTCTGTCTCTCCTCCTCTTTGTGTGTCTGCTTTTCCAATAAAAAAATAAACACTTCTTTTAAAAAAAAATCAGCCAGACCTGCACTTCCTTGGCTGAATTCACCTGCTGCGTTCTTGGTGAGGCCCCTTCCCACCTGAGGGACGGTGCTGTGGGGTGGGCTCGCTGCTGTGCTGTTCCGTTGGCTGGCTGCTACCCTGCGCCCACGGCTCTGTCGGTCTCCCTCTGCCATCCTCCCGACCTCTGCTACTTCCCTGAGTGTCCCCTTTCTGCTTCTCCTTGGCTAGTCCTTTTCTGCCTGTTTTAATGGCTTCTCACTCTATTGTCCCAGCTTGTTCTAGTCCATTCTCTTGTTTAGTATGTGTTGTTTTCCAACACAAAGGAGTCATGCTGGGTCCGTAATGCGAATCACTATTGCGTATTTTAATTGCCTTTTGGTAGGACTAATTTCTGTATGTGGACTCTTTGTTTAGTGCTTTGTAAATGGCAGAGATCGTCTCCAGGGATTTCCGTTTGGCCCTTTCCTCATAATTACCCCTTTCTCTGTGGGTTAGAGGCACAGTGTGAGTTCTGGAAGTCACTTGGTCTGTCTCCACAACCTTCCATTAAATTATGTTCGAAGGGCTTGTAGACCCCTTGACTCATTCATACGCAGAACACAAAATCCATCTGATGTAATGGATGCATTTAACCTTGCTGAAGTGGTATTTTAGGCCTTCAAAAAATAAATATTAACTTAAAGTCTCTGTTTAATATTTCATGGGTCTGAGTAATTGGATTTTGATTTTGTGGTTGCTAGCTGCAGATTTTTCTTGTAATTACTTTTTTCTGTACAAATGTATTAGAATAATGACTCTGTTTGATTTTGTTACCTTTCATTTGTATCATATTTACCAAGTATGTGCTTTTGCATTGATAAAAAAAAAACCTTACAAATCTGTGGTACTTTGGGTTTCTTTTCTAAATACTTTGTGTAATCTTCCTTCTCTTAATTTAAAATGTCTAGAATCTGTTTGACATAATAATGTTTTGCTGTAACTCTGTCTTCTGCTTTTTAACTGGATGATGATCTAGCTGAATATAAACATTTTGTGTTCTCATTATCTTTTAAGAAATATATATTTAAGGGAATATTCTTCTGTCTCTTAATGTTAAATGCTACCAAAATGAATTCTCTTTTTTGTTTGTTTCTTTATAGTTTTATTAAAATTTTTTTTTTACATTTTATTATTATCATTGATCATGGGATTTCCCTTATTCCAGCCCCAATTCCACAGCCTGAACTCCTGGCTCACCACTCTCCACCTCCTGTGATACCATGCTGAGGTTGCACCGTTGTCTCTGCAACCTTTCTCCCACTTCCGGTTGGAGCAGGTCCCAGGATTAGGGAGACATCACGTATTCTATATATCTAGGTTGTTGGTGGCACTGATCTTGCTGGAACCTGTTGGACGTTAGGTCTGGGTGCAACACGGACCTATTTTGACCCGTACTAGCCCACAGTCGGTATTATTTTCCTGCGGGACCAGTGCAATCCACTGAACTCAGTGAGTTCTCGCGAGCTCAGCACATGCGCAGTTCACTGCAGTCTAAAGCGTTTGCCAGTGTACAAAATGGCGCCTGACGAACCACTACTAGAGTCCATGATTTGCCAGCCGTCAGATCTGAGGGCTACTCAGACCTGCCCCGAGTGGAACCTGTAGAATGCCACATCGCTACAGTTCACTGAGTCAGAAATGAGTTCACTCCCAGCTCTGCGTATGCTCAGTTCTTTCTCTTGCTTTTGCCTCTTTACGCAAAATGGCATCCAATTCTGATTGTAAGGGGCTGACTAGGCTGTGCAATCCATGCTGTTCTCGCACTGCCCGTCTGGGATCTGCTGCTCTGTCTCTGCTCCTGGTCAAATCAAACCGACCAGCAGGACGGACAGTTCTTTGTCTGAGTTCACCTCCCAAGCTCCCAGTGAAAGTCCCTTCCCACCTGGTTGGTGGTGGCGTTTCGTTTGCTGGTGGAGTTCAGATCGCCATTAGCTGAATGCTGCTGGAGTATCAGTCACTGCAACACCACACCGTTGTGTCTGCTGCTTTCCTGTGTCTGTCAGTCTCCAGGTACTCCTCCGCTGTTGTTCTGTCCTCTCCTATTTCCTGAAATATGTCCTCTCTGCTTCATCCTGATTAAATGTTTCTCCGTCCATTTAAACGTGTCCTTATCCTATCCCGCCATCTTGATTCTCCCAAAATGAATTCTCAAAAATAATTTTCCCTTCTGAGAATTTTCTTGTAATTCCATATGAATGTTTGCTTAAAAACCCAGTTGCTTCAATGTGGTATGTTTTAGTTTTGTTTCATTATTATTATCAGTTGCTTCTAGGATAACATATAGTTTCTAGTTTATTGTTTCAAAAAGTTTGTTTCAGAAAAGTTGTGGGGTTTTTTTGTTTGTTTGTTTTGACAATGGTAGTTGCAGAAAAAGAGAAAGCTACAGCTCATGCCCAGGGAGCTGGGAAGTCCTCCTGGGCACCGGGGACCCATGTCCCTGCTGGCTCCTGGGCGCTGGGGACCCGTGTCCCTGCTGGCTCCTGGGCGCTGGGGACCCGTGTCCTTGCTGGCTCCTCCTGGGTCCTGGGGACCCGTGTCCCTGCTGGCTCCTCCTGGGCGCCTGGGACCTGCGTTGGCAGTTAGCCAGAAGCCAGAGCTGGGACTTGCTCCTGGCTATTCAGATGTGTGTATGCTTCCCACTGGCTCCAGTGAAAGTTTTTTTGTTGTTGTTGTTTGTTTGTTTTGTTTAATATATATTATGTTTTTGATGATTTTTTTTGGTCTACTCATTTTTTTTTTCAGGAACAGCAAATTTCATGCTCATTAAAATCTTCCTTGTTGTCCACTGAAAGGTTTTACGCATCCATCTTATTTATTTTCCAAATTGGATATTTTAAAGGTTTTTTTTTTTAATTAATAGAAATACATAATGCTGAACCACTCATTTTTCCCCCTACAGGAAAAAAAACCTTACAAAACAAGCTAAACAGGTACTTGTCAGATTGAAGACAGTTACTTTTTTCTTTTTTCCAGGTTCTCAAAAATCATTGTTACAGATCGTATTACCAGAGAAAATTCAAGCGAATACCAGTGATGACTCAGAGGTAGAATACATAAGGGATATTTTCTCAATATCTAAATTATATGAATTTTGTATTTTTATTACATTGTTATGAAATACACCAACCCCGTTACAGTATGAATGTAAGTCTCTAATATGACATCTGACAAGGAATTTATTAACATTTTGCCACTGAATGTAAACAGATATCACTGTTTCACTTCATATCTCTTATTTCTCCACGTCAGTTTTTTTTTCTTTTTTCTTTTTTTTTAAGTTGAAATGTGAACCTATCATTGTGATCTGAGTGATAGCAAGGAGAAATTTACAGAGGAGTCAGATGAAGAGCATGATGCAAGAAGAGTGGCTTCTGGTTCAAACCTCATTCCTCAGCCTTCTTCTTTGTACGCGGTGGTCCTTAGGAGCCGTTTTCTTGTCTGACATATATATGCTTAGAAGGGATTGCTTTCTTGTATTCACTGATTTTGAACAACTATTTCTTCAGATTTTTCATATGCATTTGATAGAAACATAGTCCAGCAAGCTTTCCTTATAAGAGGCTGGTCTTTTGACGACACTTTAAACGTGAGCAGTTTCACTGAGGTATAATTTACACACTACAGAATCCACGCGGAATAAGTTTATTACTTAGTGGTCGTTAGTCTGTAAGTAAAGTTGCATGAATATCAGCACAGTCCAACTGAGACACATTTTTGTTGCCTCCTCAGAGTTCCTTTGTGCCCATTTCAAGTTATCTCTTGTTCCTAGTCCTGGGAAGCCACTGATAATGTTTTCTGTCTGTATAAATTTGTCCTTTTTTTTTTTTTTTTAAAGATTTTTATTATTATTTTTTTTTATTGGAAAGGCAGATATACAGAGAGGAGAGACAGAGAGGAAGATCTTCCGTCCGATGATTCACTCCCCAAGTGAGCGCAGCGGCTGATACTATGCCGATCCAAAGCCAGGAGCCTCTTCCGGGTCTCCCACGTGGGTGCAGGGTCCCAAAGCTTTGGGCTGTCCTCGACTGCTTTCTCGGGCCACAGGCAGGGAGCTGGAAGGGAAGCGGGATTACCGGGATAGAACTGGTGCCAATATGGGATCCCGGGCGTGCAAGGCGAGAACCTTAACCACTTGCACCACCGCGCTGGCCCCCCCCTTTTTTTTTTATGTGTCAGTGAAACCTAGCATGTAGGATTCTGTGCTAGGCTTGTTCCATTTAGGTGTGTTGGTACTGTGCTCAACAGGTTTGTCATTTTAGTTTCTTAGTAGATGTAAATCTGCCATTCAATAACTCTTTCCGGATATTGGCTAGAACCATTCTTTTTTGGAATATTCATGTATGGACATGTGTTATCCTTTTCTTGGGTCTGTTCTTCAAAGTGTGGTCGACGGGTCACATGGTAATAGTTGAAGGTTTATAGATGTTGTTACTTTGCTTGCCATAGTCAATGGGTCAGTTTACGTTCCGCATTAGCAAGACCACACGAGTGGTTTTTTTATTTTATTTTTAACTTTTTAATTATTTATTTATTTTCAAAATTAATTAGATTGCATTATGTGACACAGTTTTGTAGGCACTGGGAGTCCCTCCACCCCTCTCCAAACCCTCCCCCCCATGGTGGATTCCTCCACCTTGTTGAATGCTTTTTTTCTATAAAAATGTAAGCATCTGATTTTTTTTTCTTAAAATTATTGCAATGGGGGTAATTGTATTTTGTTGTGGCTTTCATTTGCTTTTCTCTAATGAGTAATGATGTAGAGGATTCTCCATGAGCCTGTTTTACCGTTTATGTAAATAGTTAAGCCATTCACCTGCTATAAAATTGGACTGTTTCTTTAAGTTCTAAGAATTCATTCTATGCTTGCAACACAGCTTTTTTTCCCCCTGCCAGTTTGTGGATTGATTTAAAGATTTTCTCATTGGTATCTTTTGAAATACAAACAGTTTTCAATTTTTATTATTGTTGCCAAACTAAGAGTCTCTTCTACTAGACTATAGGCTGCATGAATGAAGTAATGTACTTTATTTCCTTACCTATTCCAAGAAGCTAGAGAAATGTCTGGTATATGCAGGTGTTTAGTAATATTATGAAAACTAACAGTAACACAGAGAAATCTTCTAAGTGAGAGAAATGGACACTCTTTTAGCCTATCCCTAATAACTCCTTAAGTTATGGATGACTTTTCAAAGTTGAGAAATATTTGGGAATAAGTCAGGATACTTGCAGGAATACAGTCAGTTTGGGCCTACTGTCCACTAAACGGAACCACTTTTTACCTAAAGGTTGAATCAGTACACCAATATCTAACGTGTATAATTCAGGCCATCATCTAAACGAAGGGTGCCATGAGCATTCTGCACTTCTGGTTTGTGTTGCTTGTTTGATCAGAGGTTTTGTGTAAACTCTTAGATTGTGGTGAGAAGAGGTTAGGCTGGCTTAGACAGCTGGATTAAGTTGGACTGGGTAAACCTCAGTGATGAACTCAAGTTTGGTGATGGTGAGGAATTTCTAACAGATTTCTGGGAGGAGTTGGACAAGGTGTGGGTAGAGGGAAATTTCAATCACTGGTTTACGTCTCAAATGCTTAGATCAGCCAGGGCTTGGCCAGGCTGGAGCCAGGAGACCGGAGCTCCAGTTTGTTTCCCAAGCGAGTGGCAGGAACTCAAATATGCTGAGTCATCATCTGCTGCCTGTCCAGATCCGTGAACAGGAAGTGGGATCAGAAGTAGATTAGCTGGGACTCAAACCAATAATCTGGTTTGAGATTCTGCCAGTTCAGCTGACCACCTGACCAGCTGTGTCAACGGTGCTTGTCCCATGATATTTAAACTTATGCTATATGCAGGACCTTACTCTTGTTAAAGCTCTAAGTAGTAATTGTAATTATAATTGTAATTGTTAAGTGTTTCGCATATACTTCTTTTGTGTGCATAATAGCAGAGGGACTAGGTTGATGGGGGCAGGAGACTTTTCATAATTTTTATTTTTGATGATTTTTACATAGTTGATTAGGGTGGGAAGGGGCAGGGGTGGAGGAAAGTAAGTGAGATCATTGTTTCCGCATTCTCTTCCCTTCCTGTGTAAGAGGAAAGGAGGAGTGGCAAGGGGAAAGACCACGCTCAGCCTCCCAACCGCCTCTGTACCGCCCCGTACCCTGGGATGGGGGGCAGCCACTGATGCCATCCCAGGTTGCCTGATGTGGGATGTGCTATGAAGCTCCCCCTCAAGTGGTTTCAATAGTTGAATAGTTTTGGTTGGATTGCTGTCAATCTCGCCACTCCAAACATGCTCCAGTAGGAACAATCAACCCAGCTTGGCTTTTTCCTGTTCCAGCTCATACAATGCCAACAGGTATTGTAACCCTGCCCGATCTGGTCTGCCCACATCCCAACTCACACTCTCCAGTGGGAATGGTGGTCAAGCATGGGAACCACACGCAGCGCCCCCTACAGGATCTGCTTTCTCCCACCATGGGTCTCATGTATGCTGCTTGGGTGCTGTGGCCCAATCTGGTATGGCTCGCCTCTCCTGGGCATTTGCCCGGCCTGTCCCCCGTTCCAGCTCACGCTGGTGGGGGCTACAGCCTAGCCCAGCCCAGCTGGCCCCTAGTCCTGGCCCTCATGTGAACTGGCTTGTGTTGCAATCCAACCCAGCCCAACCCACATTCTCTTCTGACACTCAAATTTGTCAGCGGATGATGTGAACTGGCTCAGCCTGGTTAGCCCCTGACTGTGCCAAATGTATGCCAGTGGGTACCATTCCCTGGCCTGATCTGGGCTGTTCCTTATAGTGGTTCCTGCTTTCACCTGCAGGGACTGTGTCCTGACAGAGGAGTTTCCCAAACATTTCTATCAGAACATCTCCCAGTGCCAGATCTCTCACACACTGGTGGGTCCATGGTCCAGCCCTACTTACTCCACCTTCTGTCCTGGCAGGAACAGTGGCCTTTCCTGACCGGTCTTCTACCCACTCAGGTTTTTATTGTTGGGTGTTACAGCCCAGCCAAGTCTGGTCCACACCCAGACACAGCTCATATGTGGCTCAGCAGGGGCAAAGAGCTAGCCTAGCCTGTCCAGTGGGTGCTGGAGTCTAGCCCAGTCTGGCACACCTCAGACCCAGTCCACACTTGTGCCGAGGGACATTGCAGCCATATCCAGACCAGAACACAGCCCTCACTGTGGCCCCATGCTAGCCAGTGGGAACCATAACCCAGCCAGGGAGTCCCCTTAGCTTTGAACCAGGCCTGTTCCCAGCCACAGATCGCACGCATGCCAGTGGTTGCTCTGACCCAGCTTGGCATAGTCCCCCACCTGTCTTGGCCTTTGCCTTTGGATGCTGTTGCCTGGTCTGTCCCAGCCAGAGGCCAGTCCCAAATCTCACTGGCAGGCGCTAGAACCTGGCCCTGCTCAGTCTGCTCCCATTCCTGGCTCACGCAAACCAGTAGGTATGACAGCCTAGCCTGGCGTGACCTGTGCCCCAGCCTGGTTTCTGCACTTGCAGTGAGCTAAAGTTTGCTCAGCTCTGCCCAGTCTGTCCCCTGCCAAAACCAACTCACCTATTAGCCAACAGTTGGAGCTACCTTGCCCAGCTTCCCCCACCCCCAGACCTGGACTATGTGATCACTGAGCGAGCTATGACCCACTAGGGGCGTCTCCCACATTCCCCCACTTGGCCCACTCCCAGACTCAGATCTCACTCATGTCAGGGAGTGTTAGGCCCTTGCGGGCTAGCCTGGCCCTTCATCTTGGCCTTGTATGAGTTGGTGAACATTGTGGCCCAGCCCACTCCACACCCCATTTTAGTATGCACATGTGGGTGCTGCAGCCTGGATCTGCGCAGAATGTTCTCAGTCCCTATCCCCGTGAGTGATGGCAGGTTCCATGGTCACACTAGCTCAGCCCATCCCCACACCAGCTTGTGAGCTAACCAGTGGGACTTGTATTTCCACAGGGTTGGGCCCATACACTCCCCACAGAATCTATCCCCAGATCTGGTTCTCTTGCTTACTGGTTAGTGTCATGGACCTGCTTAATGTGACCTG